GGTAGGAGAAGGGAGGGGAGAGGGTTTGCGGGGCTGGAGGGAGGGTTGGGGTGGGGAGGGAGGGGAGCGGGAGGGAGAGGAGGGGGTTTAGGGGTGGGAGAAGGGAGGGAGAGGGTTTGCGGGGCTGGAGGGAGGGTTGGGGTGGGGAAGGAGGGGAGCGGGAGGGAGAGGAGGGGGTTTTGGGGGGCTGAAGGGAGGGTTGGAGTGGGAAAGGGTCGGGAAAGGGGGGAAGAAGAGAGAGGAGAGGGTTTGGCGGCGGGAGGGAGAGGAGGGAGTTTGGGAAGCGGGAAGGGGGGGTCGGCGCGGGAAAGGGTCGGGGAGGGGAATGAATTTGAGGGGTGGCTTTGGAAGCGGGATGGGGGGATCGGCGAGGGAAAGGGTCAGAGTGGGGAATGAATTTGGGGGGTGGGAGAGGGGGCAGCGTCGGGAAAGGTCGGGGAGGGCGCTGGGCGGGGGAGCGGGTCGGGGGTGCGGGGAAGGCAGCGGGGGGATCCTGGGGAGAAGGAGAAGGGGGTTGGGGGGCTTGGAGACCTGGATGGGGCCAAGAGGGTTTTGTGAGAGGGTTTGGGGAGCGGGTTTTGAAAGGAGCACGTTGGAGGGCTGTGGGGAGTGGGATCAGGGGGATCGGGACTTTTGCCAGTGGGTTTTGTGCAGTGGCTCTGGCAAACGGATTTCGGGGATGCACTTTTCCTAAGGGAGGGAGATTTGGGAGATGGCTCTGAGGGAATGGGGTTCGGGAGTGTTTTCAGGGGAACAGACTTGCGGATTTTGGGGAAGCAGGATTTCCCAAGCGGGTTTTGGGCTGCGCTTTTCCAGGGAGTGGATTTGGGGAGTGTCTGGGGGGAAACCTGTTTTGGAGGAGGTTTGCGCAGCGAGGAGGGGCAGTGCCAGTCCCGGGGCTGCGGGAAGAGCCAGCCCAGCCCTCTGGGGACCTGTGGGCTCAGTCTGTTGAACCTCCCCCTTCCCAAAGACCCCTCAGGTCTGTTTTCATTGGAGGTCCAACCATGGGGAGTTTTTCGGAGCCTCCCCGCGTGCCCAGGTGAGGTGACACCGGGAGCGGTGACACCGGGATGGTGGCAGCTGGTGTGACGCTGGGGCTGCTCTTGACCACCGAGGCACCCCTGAGACCCCTGCCCAGCCCTGGGGAGGCACCCGAGCACCCCAAGGACCAAAACGGCTTCCCAGAGGCACCAGAGTGCCTGGGAATTGCTGGGAATTCGTGTCCCCCTCAGCAGTTCTCAGGGACTGCCCAGCCCTGGTGCCGCTCCAGGGACCGAGTTTCCCATCGAAAGTTTGGAGGTTTGGGAGATAAATGGAAGGTGGCAGCAGTTCCTGACAGCCGGGATGGTGGTTTGGGAGCGTGTCCTGACACTCCAGCTCCCTGGAATGCCCAGGGATGGGCAGGACACTCCCGTGCTGGGCTGAGCGATGATTTGGGATATTTCCTGGACGAGGATGTGGATGCAGAGCTTTGCAGGCAGAGCTCGGAGCTGCTGCCCTGGTTAACCCTGCCCCCTCCCTGCCTGAGGGGAGATTCCATTATCCCAAACACACCCGGGAATGCGGGAGGGGGGCTGTGAGCAAACCCTGCCGTGGCACAGGGTGGCACCTCGGGCTGTCCAGGGTTGGTCCCCATGGGAATGAACCCTCAGGGAGGCCGAGGCCAGCACGGAGAAATGCTGTTTGATGGAGCTCTTGCAGGGAATTTCCTTTGGTGGCTGTTCCATGTGTGGATGTGGCACCTGGGGACACGGGTTGGTGGTGGCCGTGGCAGCACTGTGGGGAGGTTGGACTCGATGGGCTCAGAGGGCTTTTCCAACCTAAACCATTCCATGATTCTCTGATTCCATGAACAAAACCCATCCAGAGCCTGGATGTATCCCATTCCCATGTCCTGGTCTCGATGCAGCCCATCCCTTTGGACCCTTTGGGGGTGACAGTCCCCACTTGGTCCCCTCCCTGTGGAGCCCCGAGGCCGTGCTGGCCGTGCCTCTGCCTCATCCCATCGGACACTTTGGTGGGAACACTTTGTTTTTCCTGCTGGAAAAGAAGACAGTATCAATTCTAATTAACAATGGGAGTGCTGGCACTTATTCCAGCCAGAGGAAAACCTGGAAGAGATGTTGGAACTCCACATGATTCCCCTTTGAAGCATGTGGTCCCTCTGCCTCCCCGGCAGGAATGTGGGTCAAGGTCTGCCCTCACATCCCACTCCATCTCCCAGCTCCCTTAAATTATGTCAGGAAAATGATTCCCATCCCTCAATTACATCAGGAAGATGGATCCCATCCCTGAGTTGTGGCTGGGAAGCCCTGTGTGTGCTTTCAGCCCTGGGAAGCTGAGAGCAGGGAGAGCTGGATCCGGGTGCCCTCTCCTGCTCCGTGGATCACTTAGCAAGTTTTCCACAGACTGATCATTTGCAATTCCTAAACTGAAAGTGCTTTGGGAATGTTTTCTGACAGGTGAGTCTCATGGATCTCTGAGGCAGCAGCACTTAGACCCAACTGTGGGGGCTTTGCAGCCTCATGGGAGTGTGTCAAAAAAGTGCCAAAAATGTGCCAAAAACGTACCCAAAAGAGAAATTATGGATAACACGATCCCTTTAATATTTAGATTTCATCTTTATTAGTTTTCTGGGATAAGGATAGCCTCGGTCTGAGCATTCTCACCTGGGTTTTCCTCCCTCTCCACTGGAATTTCACGGCAGGATGGAGGCAGGGTGTGATTTAACCTCTTATCATCCCTGTCACTGCTTTGGATGGTTTTGTCCTCGTGACTTGCAAGCTGGAATTGGATTAGCATTGAAAAGCAAACTGTGTTTCATCCTTCCAGTGAGAAAAGTGGCTAAAAGCTCTGGGGACAGAGATTTGAGGCAGTGCAGTGTCCGTGGGGGCAGAGCCTGTCAAGGGAAGGGAGGGGATCACTCCTCTTCCCTCCGGGTTTGTGGATCATTGGAAGGCACCAAGAAATTTTAGATGATTTAAAGAATATTTTGTGGAGTTATGGGATGGAAAAGAGTGTTCTCATGTGCAGTGTTTTGACACGGAAAAACCATCTGGGAAAAGAAGGGGGGGAAGCCACAGCAGCACTTTGTGCAAAGGGAGAGATCTGGGGAACAATCCCCTGGAAGAGGCGACAAGGGCCTGACTTGGGGGTGGGGCTGGGGGGCAGTGGAGCCCTGTGATCCAGGTGGGATTGGGGTGGAATTGTGGGGCTGGGGGAGCAGTGGAGTCCTGTGATCCCAACAGGATTGGTGTGGAATTGTGGGGCTGGGGGGGCAGTCCTGTGCTCCCCATGGGATTGGGGTGGAATTGTGGGGCTGGGGGGCAGTGGAGCCCTGTGATCCAGGTGGGATTGGTGAGGAATTGTGGGACTGGGGGGGCAGTGGAGTCCTGTGTTCCCAATGGGATTGGTGTGGAATTGTGGGGCTGGGGGGCAGTAGATCCCAGTGCTCCAGGTGGGATTGGTGTGGAATTGCCCAGGGATGGCACCACAACCCCGTGTCCCTCACACCAGGAGCTGGGGAGCCGGAGCAGCTCTGACCATGCAGAGACTCCTTGGGCACCCCCAGGGTCAGGTTTGGGGGCAGCAGGGCTGTGTGTGGGATATGGGCACCCCAAACTCACCTGGGGGAAACCCTGGGGGTTGTGGGTCATTTGGGTCGGGAATGGGGATGAGGATGGGATGGGAATATGGTTGGGGATGGGGAGAGGAATGGGATGGGGTGGGGTTGAGATAGGAATGGGATGGGGATGGGGATAAGGATGGAATGGGGAAGGAATGAGGATGGGGATAGGAATGGGGGGGATGGGAATAGGGATGGGATGGGATGGGGATAGGTATGGAGATGGGGATGAGATGGGATGGGGGCAAGGATGGGATAGGGATGGAATGGGATGGGGACGGGGATCTGTGTTTCGGATCCATTGGATGGCAGCTTCCAGAACAGAGGTTAAAGCCATTTTTGGGAGTGAGGGGAGGTCAGGTCAAGCTCTGCCTGTGTCCCGAGGGGCTCCAGCAGGATCCAGCTCCCCAGGAGGTGCCTGCCCAACACCAGGACCAGCACTCGCCCTGCCCACCCCCACTGTACCCCGGGGACAGCAGTACCCGGGGAGGGGACCCCACAGCCGGCTCGGGCAGCCCTGCAGAGCCCCGTGGGGGACACACCGAGGGGGCACCCCTGTCCCTCCCTGTCCCACACATTCCTGCCCCCGCTCTGGGATCCTGTCCCGGCAATCCCGATCCCAGCTCCGGGCTCCTATCCCTCCCTGTCCCAAACATCCCTGTCCCGGCTGTGAGATTCTGTCCCTCCCTGTCCCACACATCCCTGTTCCAGCTGTGGGATCCTGTCATTCCCTGTCCCACCATCCCTGTCCCGGCTCTGGGATCCTGTCCCTCCCTGTCCCACCCATCCCGATCCCAGTTCTGGTATCCTGTCCGTCCCTGTCCCATACATCCCTGTCCCGGCTGTGGGCTCCTGTCCCGCCGTGTCCACCCCGTTCCAAGGGATGCGGAGCGGGGCCGGGATTGCCGGGCCAGCAGTGACACCTAGTGACATCTGGGAGGACACCGGACACCGGGACATCGGAACACGGGCAGGGCACGGGAAGGAGCACGGGAACACGGAGAGGGACTGCCATGGATACGGGCACGGGGACAGCCACGGC